TAGTAGTGGCAGTCAAAAGGTTCAATAAGAACTGTTATTGAACTTAAATCAATATTGCAATCTGACCTTCTCAAGCATTGTCCACTGGATAGGAAAGCTCTGTAGCCATGAGTGATGTATGGGTTCCCCTGCATGAAGTGAGGCACTTCAGCATACGAATAGAGAGGAAAACCTTTCTTCTCATTCCTGGGATCCACGGTGGTTATGTCACGCCAGTTCATCTTGAGACCTATACGGATAGTCTGGCCGCCTCACCTTAGGACTTCTCCTTCTTCTTCTTCCTTCGTTAGAGTCAGAGATCAGCAGTCAATTCCTACATGTATAAAATGGAGAAGAATGTTTGGTATGATGGGGGGTTGGGTGTCCGGACATTTAACAAACATAGATCCTTCCTTTTTGCCTTTGGATTGAATGAAATATATTCATCAAATTGCACTGACCATCATGAATATTTTTCCTTTATAATATTGTCCAACATGAGTCTTATGAATTATTGTTTGTAAACTTTTTCAAGTTGCTGTTTTAAAGCAAGTGTCCGGCCACACAACATCTAGAGTTCTAGACCTTATCTATCGATGTGGCCATTTTCATAAAAAGTCTTTTTACTTTTGTCTTTTTTCCACACTCATTTACTTTACTTTATAATTGTAGTGATCACAGGGTCATGAAAGAGAGCTCCTACCTATTTGCTCTGTAGTTACCACAAAAAACAACAACAGGAATCTGTATTTTTTGAATTCCCATTAGTTCTTAATCTTAACTCTAAAGAAGCTGTTCAAACATACATGCACCTTCTTTATTGCATGTGTGTATTTTTTATCAATAACTAAGTAAATGAAAGCTTACTTCAATTCAATTTATTGACTTATTAAAAACCACATAAAATACAAATGTTTTGTAATATTGCAAAGCACCAGCAAGGGGCGCATATATGGACGCAGTCTCACTTGACGCCGTGTCCTGTGACTCCTGTCACTGTGTGCGTTCATTGCTGGTGCTTTGCTTTAAATGTCTTATGCTCATATACATGTAGGTCTGTATAATGTTTTTCTTGTATATTTGTTTTCCCGTTAATATTGTTTTTGTTAATTTCTCGATATATATATATGTCATGGTTGGTGCCCCAACACAAGTTTGTATTCAAACTTCTAGCTACTAACCCCATGTTTGTATATTTCCATGAATTATTGTATTTTTATGGTTGAAATAAATTGAATTCGAATTGAATTGAAAATGCAAGTAAAAATGCAAAAATATGAAATTACAAACATGACAATAATTAAATACAAGTAGACGTCTAAAGATTTGTTATAAAATGAATTTGGACAAATGAAAGATTACAAATCTTGTAAATTTCATCCCTATACAAATACAATGAAAGTTTATGAAATAGTCTGTACACTGAGAGTGAGATCGAGGAGCTAGCTAGGATCAGAGCTTGCAAGATGTGTCATACACAATGCAGTGCTGCCAATTTTGTCACTCCTACCAAAGGCTACAATTCATGAAGTCTAACTAACCATTTGATTCATTGCAACTTTAAAAATTCATAAATTTCTTATCTTTAATCAGAATTTGCTCAAGGTTTCACTGACCCGTTCTAGCTCACTCACACTCGCAGTGATTATTCTGCTTCTAAATCTAATATTATTGAAACCAATGTAGATCTAGACTAGTCAGGGTGGACTTCCCATTTAACAGTTCAACTGCAATCGTGATTATAAAAAAGGAAACAAAAAATTAACAGCTAAAATAGTAAAGGTCAAAGTAAAAACTTTTAAGTGCCCCGTCACGGCACCCGTCACTCACTCTGGCCCGGCCCAATCCCCCCCCCCCCCTTATCACAATATCAGTCCGAACACACTGCATGCGGATAGTCGAGTCTCGTCTGCACTGCACTGCCACTCCAGCAAAGCATAGAGTCAATGCTAATGCGTACTGACCTCTAGCGCTGTAGATCTAGATCTATACTTACCGAGGCAAAAATTACACACAAATAGTCTACACACACCGCATACAATTGCACACTAGATCGACCCTCTAGTAAAATAATAGCAATTTTGGACTCACGATTTTGAATTTTCAAAATATTCTTTCTAAGAAATTGTCACTAGATTCTAGAGTAAAGTACCAATTTTGGGTGAACTCAGTTGACTTTTGTACAGTGGTGTTTGAAATGTAGACCCCTAGATACAGCTAATATCTAGCGCTAGCATAGACCGAATTTTCCGTCTCTTTCGTTTGTTAGCCTCTTATTGGGGTAGGGTCGGCCGGCTCTCTCTTTAGAGACGGAAACCGTCTATACACATTCCCTTGATAACGCCACGGCCATTTCAGGTCGTAGCGTTTTGCCCCCAAAATCCCCCAAAATGTCATTTTACCTCATGCATTGATTATTTAAAATTAGGAGAAGGTTATATTACATCGGTTCCACTTACCAACTTGACTGAAATAATCCGTTTAATGGTCCCTTTTAGGAAATTATGGGTCAAAATCGACATCCATGTTGAAATCTTGCAAGCCGTGTTAAACTGATTTCAGTCAAGTTGGTAAGTGGAACCGATGTAGTAGTCTACATAACCTTCTCCTAATTTTAAATAATCAATGCATGAGGTAAAATGACATTTTGGGGGATTTTGGGGGCAAAACGCTACGACCTGAAATGGCCGTGGCGTTATCAAGGGAATGTGTATAGACGGTTTCCGTCTCTAAAGAGAGAGCCGACCCTACCCCAATAAGAGGCTAACGAACGAAAGAGACGGAAAATTCGGTCTAGCGCTAGCACTGCAATCTTTTCTATAGGCCTACTAGGCCTAACAAAAAAACATCCCGAAAATGCACGGGTGGGGCTAAAGTACAAGCTAACAAAGCCTCGGCTAGCGCTACGCGCCGCAGAAACATACCTCAACAAAAGGACGCTAGGCCTAACCCCAGAATTATCTTCCCTTTCGATGAAAGAAAATATCCAATCTGTCTGAGTGCTTAAAATTGGTAAATTTTAGGTGCATATCATCTAGTTCTGGAGCTACTAGACCCTGTACTACACGAGTGGTCCCGTGTGTCCCTCTAGAGGGCGCTAAATACTATAGAGATCTCTCCGGCTAATTATTGTATAAATAAATATATTTTTCATTTTCTTTTATTTTCATTCTATTGCAAGCTTTTGCAACGACCCCCTCCACCCCCCCCCCCCGAAGAAAAGAAAAGAAAAGAAAAAAAGGGGGGAAAAGGGGCTACACAGGTTGATCTCTCAAAAATAAATAAATCAAAATCTCCTGGAAGAATCTAAAAATTATATTTGTATCTTTGGTAAATAATGTGAAAGAAAGGATAAAGAAAATATAAAGTTGATTGATATTGTGAAAATATATGTTTGTTCTGGCAGAAAACATGATGTGCAGTTTATAATGCAAGACTTGCATGACAAATAGCTTGCAAGTGATAACTACAAATAGGCCAATAATGCCAGACAACTTTCTCATTTGTTTCAACACACCAAATAATTAAAATGTTGAATTCTCAAAATGCCTCAGGTGGGTCTTTATATGCTATCCATATTATATGTCGAGTGGTACATGCCCCAATGAGAAAAACATAAATTAGTGAATTTGTGTACATGAAAAACTGGAGTGCTGTATGTGTTTACGTCACAACCCACCAACCAAATTGCCAATTTCAGATTTGCATAGATAAAGTGATTTCCATAGGTTAGACAATCCATATATTCTGAACTACAAATACATATATGTTTTCTCACCAGATCAACATAAAGAAGTCATGAGAGAACAGAGAAGTATAGAAGAAAAAGCTCTTTACACATATCTCAGGTTTATTTTCAGTTTATTGCATAGTTCATAATCATACAACCCACAAAACAATATTTTCAGGTAAATCATTACTCGGAAAATATGGTCTGAAATGGCATTACTGTTCTTTATAATTTACAATCCACTAATCAAATAAACTGAAATGTCTGAGGACAGTAACAATATTACTTTAATAGAAAAGCACCTTTTCCTTCTAATTACAAAGTGCTTCAAGTTCACAATTTTCTTCATTTTGTATGGGCCATGTAAACAATAATTGTCATTTTTCATAAACACCTCCCTTCAGTAAATGTATTGAGGAATACACATTATTGAACAGTAGCTTCTAATGGCAACAGCCTATAACAACAATGTAGACCTTTTTGTATTTGTTGCATGAGGATTATTAATCATGATAAAACTCATGTTAACAGGATACAAATGCAATAGCCCCCATTTGTCTTCCCAGGGAGCTGAAATTAAGTTTTAGGTCCCTGGTCTTCCAAATATAAGACAATTTCATGAACTAATTTACTCATAAACCAATTTCAAAACACATGACAGGAGTCACAAATAAAATAAAACAAAAACAATCAAGATTGTAGTAAGACGATACTATTTGCTCATTTTCAGTCCCAGCTGCCCATACATTACCAAGTAGCAGGGCTCGACATTAACAGGCACCCGGGATACATAGGCATCTAAAATCTAATACTAGACACACTCCTGCCCCACCCCCCCCCCCCCCCCCCCAAAAAAAAAATGAAGCTTTTACTCATGCACACCAAATGTTTTGTTTTTTCTCGATCCGGACCCCCTTAAATAAAAAGTTAGCCCTGCCAAGTAAAATTGAAATTAATACCGGTAGTACAATCATCAAAATCATTGATAATGTTGGTATGAGGATAAAATGCCATGAACTGGCCCAAATTTTCCCACTATTGGAGTTATTATAATCATCGTAAATACAGTGGTCGGAAAAGCATATGAGAGAGTTTAAACTTCTGGCCCATGTCTATAAAAGCAGTTGCAATTAATCTAATATGATTAAAAGTCCTCCCATTAATCAACAACTTACATACACCTATCCTATATGTATAAAGTTGTGAAGTCGTGATTGAATCCCGATTAAATAAATTGTAGGATTAATTGCAACTCTTTATATGATAGCGCACGGATTGCCCTTTTCTTTTCCCTCTAAAGATGAATGGAAAGAATCCTCCTTATGACATGCCTTGTAATAATGGTTGGTTATTTACATGTATAGCAAAGTCATTTTGTAATTATATAGTCAAGACATGTTCATGTTAGCATAGAAGTTTAATGCAGAGAATGACAAAATAGCCGTATAGTCCATCCCTCCCGAGTAATGTTCCAAGTCACACTTGTGGATATCTCTTCATAGTAAAGACCTCTTCATTGACACAGCCTATAGTTTGTAGCTCATAGTTCATATCCACTTATACACTGGCCTGTCCTCTACGATCTGAACTTCTAATTTCACTGGACACTTGAACCAATGAGAGAGCAGTTCCTCCGTATATCCAATCAGAAAGTAATACTTCTGCGGGGCTTGATTTCGAAGCATGATAGCGGCAATGAAGATTTGATTGGCTCTTCGCTTTATGACAAGTTCTGTTGCCATACAATTGTGAAATGTCCCATACATGAATTTCCGAATGAAGAGGTCTTCGAGGACGCGGTCTGCGGTGCCAATTTCTCCTTCCAGATTCGCTGTATAAGTTTAAAAAAATGAAGTATTGGTATATCTATTTAACTGGTTTTCAGTTGGGTAAGTCAACTAAACGATATACTATATCAAACACAATCGTTTCTCAATCCAGTATTGTATAACAGTAGTAGAAGTATTGTTATCAATATTGTTATTATTATTATCATTATCATTATTATCATCATTATTATCTTATGAGGCCTCATTGACCATACAATGAGATCAATTACCGGTACCTAAATTATCAAAAGAAATTGTATGAAAATCCACCATTTATATTACATTGCAAGGGGAAAAATTGTGAAAAGTTTTAAGGAAAAAAGGTGAACAATGAGAGAGTTTTGATTATTTAAACTATGTACTTTATATAAATAGTTTATCAAAATTCACATTTTTCATAATTCAACTGGAAAAAATTACTCTATTTTAGTGCATCCACACAAAAACATATTATCAATATAACTTGAATTCTGGTGTGAGGAAATACGATTCTCATGGGGGAAATGGGAAATTTATATTATCAATATAAAGAAAACAATTAGTGGATAGAGAGGCAATAACGTCACAGACTCATGAATGAGTTGACAATTTGTCTTGTGATTTTCAAAGTTTTTCATGCCATTAAAATTTCATAACTTTCTTATTGATTATCTGATTTTGCTCAAACCTTTTTTGATTGGTTTGTCTGATTGTTCAGCTTCTATTGAAAGTAAGTAATAATTGGAGTGGACTTGCCCTTTAAGTTCACATATTGATTAATTTCTTTTTTTATAAAGAAAAAAGTCAATACCTTTTTTTTGGTTTATTATTTGCTACAGAACAGACTCTACTCTTATAACATGTGAGTAATCAACATGTCATCAACATCCTTACCATATTCCATATCATGAGAAAAGCCCCGAGGATAAATTTACTCTAAAGATGAATGTAAATTCATATATTTTATTGTAAAGGCTTAAGTAAATAGTTGTCCCCAATGTTTCAGCTGAAAGACCAATTCATTAATTTGCAATTCACATGAATTTAATCATGATCTCAGCTTTCCAACTTTCATATCATCCTTTACTTTTTTCAAACCTGTATCTCAAGTTTTTCTGCTATTACATAATTAAAACTGTTACAAACAGATGACATGCTCCTACTTGCAACACAAACTTACCTGTATGTTTGGAGTTCCAACCCTTCCTTACACCAATGTAATGTGGTGGGTTGGACTGTTCGTAAGTGACTGGTTTCTCTCCTTTACTAACTCTTACTCTCCCAGCGACAACCTTGTGACATACTGCTGTTGTCTGCAAAAGCCGAAACGACGACCTCTGAATACCCAGTGCCCCTCTCAGCATATTCTGAAACAGAGGATAAATGAATAACAAAAATTATTATCGGTTAAATGTCATTCAAGTTAAGACCCAGTATCCCTCCTAAAATATGAAACAGAGAAGTAACAATAACAACAAAACTACTATTTAAGCTATGAGAATGACCCATTACGCCACATTCCAGTAAATTATCAACAACAAATTTTATCATTTAAGTTGTGAGCAAACAGCAATATGCCATATATGATAGCAATTAAAAGACAGAGAAGTGGGATTCCATTCGTAGGCTGCAGAAAACCAATTTGTCAAAAACAAATGCAAAGGAAAATCAAGTTGTAAATGTGATGCATGTAAAATAAATTATAAATATACTATATACAATGTACACATGAACGAGTCTGACCAGGCTATTAAAATATCAGGTTTATGCTTTGTTGTACATTTCTAGATCCTATTGAGTTCAATACTTCAACTGAAAATAATATACCCCCGGTAGTTAAAATACACAGGAGTGGCAAGCAAGAAATTACTCTGGACAGCTCTATTCTAAAGGAGATCTAGAAAATGAAAGCGAGCATTCTGGTTTAAAAATTTTAACAAATGACTAAAGACGTGAAGTAAAAATGAATACATATCTATATCTGATAAATAAATAAACCAAAATAAAGAACACCTAAATAGCTGGATGGAAATCTAACTTTCACAACAACAAACCCCAAATAGCAATTTTTGCAAATTATAATTATATTCAAATTATAACACTGAATTCAAACTTTAGTCTTGTCAATTACACTTTTAACAGAGCCTCAGAGTCAGATGTCAGCGTTTTTGACAGCAAATCGCATATATGCGCTTGTTAACTCGCGCACGTGTGTGTGAAGTAAGCGACCAAAATCTCATATCCTCATTAAATCAATGCCAGTAATTCCTCATTACGGTCGTTCTCTTCACGCACGCGAGCCCGATCCGCACCCCATTATCGGTACGCTATGCGGTATGAAATTGAATTGTGCAGCAGTTTGCTGTTAAACCTGTGACTTATGTGAGAATGTAAATGAATTATTGTCTTCATTTTTAAGAGAATTGACACAAAAGGGGTAAGAAACATAACGACTAATAATAATGACCATTATTTGAACAAATTGATGAAGAATTGGTTGATTTTGGGGTATGTTTTAATAATCTACACACCGGAGTTAATAATACAAGTCCAAGTCTAGATACGAAAGTACACTAGCGCCGAAATAAGAGCCCAGTACTAGTAGTAGTAGTAGTAGGGACTTTTAGATTTGCACGTCAACAGCTTTGACTGCAACGTGTGACGTCATTTTAAGGCACTGCGCATGCGTTACGTCGTCTCAGTCGGCGATCGAGAATGCGTCAACCTTGATTTTCCTAAATCTAGTACATACACATACATACATATTGATATTTATATAGCGCCTTTACATGCTCAAGGTACTAGAATGCCGCATGCGCATAAAATATACAGTTCCTCAGGTAGACAAAGGAACATCCCTTCCCTGCTAAGTGCTATGTAAAAATGTGTAGAACAGGTGTCACATGCATATTCACCTGTTCTACACATTTTTACATATTAATAGCATTGAAGGGATGTTCTTTTGTTGAGGGTAATGAGGAACTGTATATTTTGTCCTCTTTCTTTGTCTGTGATGTTCATAGTGTTACTTCCTGCATGCATGTATATCGTCGAGTGCAATCTAAAAGATTTCTAATTGTAGTCAACATGGGCAGTTAAGTACGTTGACACGCATGAACAGTCGGTGTTTTTCGTGTTCTCATCCACTCAATCTAAAAGTCCCTAATAGTACTACCAATCTTGACTCTAGCAAATAGAGTCTAGTCAATGCTAATGCGTATTGACCGCCTCTACTATGTCTATGTAGGCCTACTAGCACTGCACTCATAACACACAGATGCACACAATCATGCTGATCGGCAATTTTGACAGTGGACTAACAATTTGAATTTTTAATCTTCACTAAAGAAAGTACCGATTTGCGAAATCAGTTGAGTTTTGTACAGTGGTGTTTGAAAATGTTGAGGATCAATAGCACAGCTTTTAATACACAGCCAGAATACTTAGTAATGCACCTAGATCTATGTGTGCCTATAATCTACTGAGTACTACTACTACCAGCGATGATGCCCTAGCCGCGCCGCGAGGTCATAGTCAGTGCAGTGAAAAAAATACACGGGGGCTCAGGGCGAAATAGCCCCCGAAATGCCCAAAAGAGCCCTCGAAGATCAGAAAAGAGCCCCCATAAATTTGCATAGAGTTCAATGGCATGCAAAACAAATTTTAGAGTGTTATTTTTATGCAGGCAAGCTTGAAAAGTAGCCCCCGAAAAATAATTTTTTCCCTGAGTCAGTGTAGATCTAGTCATAACGATTGCGAGAAACGGTAGGCGCTAGGAGTAGAGCAGGAGCGCGCGCCGAGCCGCCGACTACTGCTGCAGTGCACGCTGTATTTTATCGTAAAACCAAACACTAAATTCAGTTAGTGGGGCCGTAACAATGTACGTTGAGCGTTATATCACCGTAAAATTCATACTTTAATTATCAATAGCACTGTCATTTAACCTTAATAAAAATAGGGAATAATGAAAAATGTATGATTATAATGTATGATCATGCAATGGCATCCGAAAATAGTCTTACAACACAATTAATCCCGGGCAATGTCATGATTCTACCCTCTTTTCTTTCCAACCGGCTGGCATTGGTCAATGTTAACCGCAGATGGCGGTTGTATTTAAAAATAACTGGTTTGATTTACCTTCTTGATTGTACTACTACTAGGGTCTACAGTACATGTATCGACTTGCACCAACGTTCTTGTAGATTTGGATTGCGAAAGTACAACAACAAGTAGAAGATCTAGCCAGCAGAGAAAATATAAAGGAAGAGGCCTAAGTTAGCAATATGCACTGATACTCCCGCACCACCAGTCGATAATTTGTAAGTTTTTTCTTCAATCATGAAAAAGAATTATGCAGCTAAGCCGGGAGCTGTATTGACAATACAATACTATTGTATCTCTAGGCTAGACCTCCTAGTAGAGTCCTAGATCTAGACTCTATATAAACTGTTCCTGCTTTCTTCTCTCCCTTTCTGTTATATTTACGATCCAGGCCAGGCAACTAGGAGCTGTTGATTTTCAGATGGATGGTTTTGATTGAAGCTGTTATTCAACACCATCTGATAATGCCCAAGAGGAGGGAGAGAGAGTTGGACGATTCAGCCCAAAAGAGATTTCGGCAGTCCACGTTGGACTTCCGTGTTAAAGCAAAAGACGAGGGAAAGAAAGGTTTGTGTTTCTTCTTGTCACTTTTTTGTTGAATGAAGGCTGATTTACATGTACATTGTTTGCATGGCTTATTACTAAATATGGGGTACCAAGGAGGTTTCGAACGAAGAAAGACCTAGCACATGCAGTACTAGACCGAATTTTCCGTCTCTTTCGTTCGTTAGCCTCTTATTGGGGTAGGGTCGGCTCTCTCTTTAGAGACGGAAGCCGTTTATACACATGTCCTTGCTAACGCCACGGCCAGTCCTGGTCGTAGCGTTTTGCCCCCAAAATCCCCCAAAATGTCATTTTACCTCGAGCATGTTATATTGTAAATTAGGCCTAGGCTATAATAAATCAGTTCCACTTACCAACTTGACTGAAATAATCAGTTTAATAGTCCCTTTTTAGGAAATTATGGGTCAAAATCGATTTTCAAAATGGATTTCGATTTTGACCCATAATTTCCTAAAAAGGGACTATTAAACTGATTATTTCAGTCAAGTTGGTAAGTGGAACTGATTTATTATAGCCTAGGCCTAATTTACAATATAACATGCTCGAGGTAAAATGACATTTTGGGGGATTTTGGGGGCAAAACGCTACGACCAGGACTGGCCGTGGCGTTAGCAAGGACATGTGTATAAACGGCTTCCGTCTCTAAAGAGAGAGCCGGCCGACCCTACCCCAATAAGAGGCTAACGAACGAAAGAGACGGAAAATTCGGTCTAATGCAGTACCAGTTGCATGTTTTCATGGACAAAAAGATCAGTCTCTTTTGTTGATTGTTGTTTCAGTCACTGAGATTAAATATGACTCTATCATTAACCATCTTTACACTGATGGGTGGAAGGTTAAGAAATCAAATGTAATTTTTTATCAAGGAATTCCACATAGCAGACGATTTTTTGTGTGTATATTTTTCATTGTTGTGTGATAAATTCATATTTGTACTACTATTTGTGGTCACATGGGCAGCATACGTTTCAAGAAACTGTCATAAGTACACGGTCGCCGACATCTCATTCATTGAAACTCATATAATATTAAAATTAACACATGTTTGAATGGGATGTTGGTGAATTTGTATAATGGGGGGGGGGGGGGTGTACAGACACTTAAAAAATATTCATCAAATAGCAATTTACCATCATGAACAAAATTAATTGTCTGTTATAATAATTGTCCAACATATTAGTCTTAGATGATATTTGAAATATTGCTTGAAAACTTCTTCAAATTGCTGTTTTAAAGGTAGTGTATCCCATTTGCAGCCAAAATCAAATCTTGTAGAACTTTGCAGGAATCATGAGTCACGTAACTATACAGTACAGTATGTCCTATCTGTGAAATTTAAACGTTTAGCGGTTAGCAGTTACCTAGTTATGCAAGGGATACCGTTTACTCTCTAGACTTAACTGTCAGACACTCTTGAGTGAGTGAGTGACTGACTTTCTTGTTGTTGTAATAACATAGATAAAATTAGCTGTAAAGGGTACATTATTATTTGTACACATCAATGACCCGTTTCTGATGATGACCAAAATTAAACTTCTTGAGTCTTTACTCAGCACTAAACGTACGACTATGCTTACAAGAGTCTGAAAATCAGAATACGTACCTTCTAGGCATATTTTTTGCAACTCATTTTGAAAATTCTTAACGGTTGATATCATTCCACATCGAGGGAATTACCAGTAAGTTAATTACCAGTTCTAATCTTTAAGAGGGGTTTTTAGTTGGTATTATTTGTTGTTGTCTTGTTGACCATAGGATTGACATAATATATTTTCAGCCTGCAAAAAGGACAGACTACCTTTAAATCTACTGTCCGGATGCACAACCTCTCTAGACACACAAGGTCTGGGTATACTTTTGATGGTTTAGTGAAACAGTGTTCATAACTCTATTGGGTCACACAAACTATTTACTCAAGGGAAACCTTCTTTATTTTCATTTGCATTCGCAGGTGCATTTGAAGCAGACCTTGACGAGGAGGCAACGATGAGTGCAGAAGAGAGAGCCGAGATGCAGAGGAGGAGAGACCTCATAGCAGCAGCTGCTGAAAAGAGAAAGTAAGTCATCCATGCTCAATTTTAGAATTTCAATTGTGAGGGCTACCTTATGAAGGGAAATTCAATATTGATCCAGTTAATACATGGATGTACATTATAAAAGCAAAACATACATGTAATCAGTAAAACAGGTTGGGTAATGTCTGAATGAAATCAATTATAAACAATAGGAAACTTTAGAACTTTTAAGATTTGGAATTGCTGCACAATTAATTTCTTCAAATGGGCTAGTTTTTAATTTCTCTATGATGTCATGTTAGATGGCTGTTCAATTTGCTCAAAGACACAAAATAAGCTAATTATAATATTCCTAAATTTGTTGACGTTTATTACACCCATAGCTGTAACTCCTGTTAGATAATATAATTTCTGTTTGATTGTTTGGTATCATGTGTGCCTGGAAGGAGGAAAATTGTTCTCAAGATATGATGATTTGGATGTGCTGGTGTACTACTTATTCCCATGAATGCAATATAGTATGCCTTTCCTGAAGTGTGTAAATGTGTACATCGATTGAAATCATTGTTAAGTTTTTTTCTTTCTTTCTATATCACAATTACCAGGCAATCAGGTTCACCATGGAAAACACCACCAGATAGCCCCGAGAATCCGGAAGACAATGATAGCAATCTCATGCAACGATCTTCACCCTCAAAGACATCAGAACTACCTACAGAAGCTGGTGTCAATTCAAGAACTAAAAGTAAAAGGATAGCTGCATTATCAGAAGCTAGTGATGGGGCTTTGCAAGAAAGGACTAGCACCCCCAAACAGGACCCAGAAAACAGTGTGTATCGGAGGACAGATAGGTTTGATTATGTTGAGGAGAGTGCAAATAAAGGACTATCTGCCGATGAGCTTGAACGACCTTCAACCTCGAAGGATGGTCGGAAAGTGACAAGAAATTCTGGTAATGGAGAAGATGAGGATGAAGTGAAAAGGTCGGAGGTGAATTATTCTCAGATGGAACCAGCAAGTCCCACGTTGGAATACATGTATGATGGAGATGGATCGCAGCCATTGTTTACTGAGTAAGCTGTCTTCTTATATTATTTTTTATTCACTCAGTATTTTTCTTTTGATGTCTTTTTACTCTCTTTCTCTTTCTGGTTTGATTGGATTTCTAGTCTTTCTTTGTATCTCTGTCTCTCTCTGTCTCTCTCTTTTGCAGCTCTACCTCTCTCTCTCTCTGTTTCTCTTTCATTCTCTCTCCCTACCTCCCTCCCTCCCTCTTTCTCTTTACTTATAACTGCAAGTCAGAAAGTTGCATACATGTGCTACATCCAACAAGTAGCATTTGGCATAGTCTGTTTGGAAACAAATTGTATGACTACGGACTACGGTATTCATGGATATTTATCAATGGAGAATGCAATCTTTTAACAGCTTTCATAGTTGCTGCATGTACCTTATTTAAATAATCCAATATTCTTTGTCTATTGTGTTGAATGATTTCCTGACCTTACAAAAACAGCCCTTTTACATAAACTTTCATTAGAGTTACTTTGACAAAGTACTTTATTACCCTCGATCTTCTGAATTTTTCAAAAAATGTGAATGTTCTTGCAGAGCTTATTATTCTATACATGTACCAAACATTGACATTTGTACTTGACCTATGGAACTTATTCTGTTTCTTTTTTTCTTCTTTTCTTTTCTTCTGACCTAAACAGTTCAGAACCTTTGGAAGAAGAGGAAGTCAACTCCAAAGATGTGCCAACCTCATATTGGAAGGGTTCTCCTATCTCAGAGCTACACAGGGCACCAGCCTGTACAGAAGTATTACCTGAGATGAGACCATCCCAAGACCACACCATTCTGTTCACAGTAAGAGGCTATTTTATGTTTCTTTCTATGTCTCTGACCAGACAATCATTAGTTTTCTTTTTTGTGTATGTTTGGGGGGGGGGGGTTACACACAATCATGCTCTCTTTGTGATTTAAAAGATAGCATGATCTCAACATAGGAAAATGCAAACATATTGCTACTGGTTTTGTGCATGATAGCAACACATTGCAAAAACACACAACAATTGAATGTGACTCACAGAAGACAACTATTCAACTCAATTTGCAGATGATTGTGTTACAGTTCTCTACTGGAAACTAGGAACATTCAATCACAGTAAGCAGCAGTAAAACACTGGTTGGGTTTTGCAAAGAAATTGTTCCTAGTGCAGTCATCCTGAAACCTGTATGCGATAAGTTTGCATCCTTTTGTCTGCGTTCGTGTGTGTTTTAAACTATTTTCTTCAGCACAGGCAACCAGGTCAACTTTAAGGGGGATATTGCTAAAATAGGCTCTGTTGATAATTTAATGCAGTTTTCATCTTGCTAAAGTTAATTACTACAAATTTGTTTGTGTTTTTGTTAATGTTTTTTATATTTAAACTAGATGGAACTTCGACTGCGCGCAGTCGAAAATGATGCCTCCGTCATAGAGCAATTTTACAAACCAAAACAGAAGAAATTTTTCGAATTCAAGTTCAATTGTAATCCATTAACAGGTTTTCAGAATATTGTGATTACAAGCTATTTTTGCATACATAATGAGCCCATGACCTTTGACCTTATGAACCAAGAATCTACTCAGTTCATTGGCTCTGCAAGAAACATACATGACCTAAGTTGGCAGGAATCCATCAATCGGTTCTTGAGATAACGCGATCACGAGCTGTTTTTGCATACATAATGTGCCCTGTGATCTTTGAACTTTGACCTTGTGACCCCTACATCTAATCAGTTCATCGGCTCTGCAAGTAACATACATGACCTAAGTTTGGCAGCAATCCATCAATCGGTTCTTCAGATAACGCGATCACAAGCTCGTTTTGCATACATAATGAGCCCTGTGGCCTTTGACCTTTGACCTCGTGACCTCAAAATCTAATCAGTTTTTTGGCTTTGCAAGTAACATACATGACCTAAGTTTGGCAGCAATCCATCAATCGGTTCTTCAGATAATGCGATCACGAGCTCGTTTTGCATACATAATGAGCCCTGTGACCTTTGACCTTTGACCTCGTGACCCCAAAATCTAATCAGTTCATCGGCTCTACAAGATACATACATGACCAAAGTTTGGCAGGAATCCATCAACCAGTTCTTCAGATAACGCGATCACGAGCTCGTTTTGCATACATAATGAGCCCTGTGACCTTTGACCTTTGACCTGGTAACCCCAAAATCTAATCAGTTCATCGGCTCTACAAGATACATACATGACCAAAGTTTGGCAGGAATCCATCAACCAGTTCTTCAGATAACGCGATCACGAGAACGGGACGTACGTACGTACAGACGTACGTACGTACGTACGTACGTACGGACGTACGGACGGACGGACAACCCGAAAACATAATGCCTCCGGCTACTTCGTAACGGAGGCATAAAAAAAAATAGTATAGAGCTAGTGCTTGCAGACTACTGTAAGTTTGCATTACTATATAATATAATTTACCTTTAACAGACCCCAATGAAGTTGGATGTTCCTCCAGCTGCCTTTCCTGATGATTACCAAGACAAGTGGGATGGTGATCATGTGAGGATGCCCTGCTCTCCAGACAACCTCTACCCTGTTGAGGATCAGGTAAGTTAGATAGTTTGCTATTTACTTAGTTAATTACTCAGTTAGTTATTACTAATAGTGAGTGAAGGAGTTATTTTTGTTTGTTTGTTTTTCTTGTGTGTGTTTTGTTTGTTTGTATGTTTTTTATCCTGTTGAGGATCAGGTAAGTTAGATAGTTTGCTATTTAGTTAGTTAATTACTCAGTTAGTTATTACTTAGTGAGTGAGGGAGTTGGCTTGTTTTTTGTTTGTTTATGTCTTTGTTTGTTTGTTTTGCTTTTGTGTGTGTTTAAAAAAAATCCTGTTGAGGATCAGGTAAGTTAGTTAATTAGTTAAGTTAGATATTTAGTTGGTTAGTGAGTGAGTGAATGAGTTAGTTGGTTACTTAGTTTAGTTAAAGGTATAGACCAGTTTTGGAAGCGCCCCCCTCTCAAAAAATGAAATGGAAGCTCTTATTATACCAATCATGTGAAAGAATATGTTTTGACTAATATGTGGTGATACAATTTTGCCGGGAAACTGCCTACTAATTGATAGATTTGGTAAATTATTATATCTATCCGGACTGGATAGATATCGCGTAGTCCCATATACATCTTTCTATGTACAGTGCTTGTAACTTTACCAAGACTGGGCCAAATTCAGAACCTTGCAGTACACACCAATACTTATATGCTAGATGATCAACCTTTTCTGATCGATTCCACATACCTTTAACTTTTTGTTTGTTTGTGTGTTTGTTTCTTCCGTTGTCTTTCCTGTTGACTACCAAGACAAATGGGATGGTCATATTCTTTTTGCAACAAACTCTGTTTCATCTTTATTTCAATTTTCCACAGGCTGGCAGAAAGAAGGTTCAGAGTAGATGGGAGCTGATAGAAGCAACACTACTTGGAGGAATAAAGAACTCCATAGATTTAGAAGTAAGTGTGCATTTCAAGTAATGCTGTGTTCGCATTCTATTTATCAACAGTGTTTGATTAAGGGTTTGATAAATAGTACAACTTGCTTCACTGTCGATTATTTTGTTGAAGGGTGAAGTTTGGTTGGTTTGTTTGTCTTTACCTGACTGCTAAAAAAAGCATACGTATGCTTTGTAGCCTTTTAAGTAAGCAACCACGGGCCAACATCTTTAAGTCCTCTGTGAGAGACTTGGTGTTGAGAATTAATGCCTTACAAAAGAGCACTTACCCATCAAATTGGTTTCAAATCCGGGACCTCCTGGTTACAAGATCACTGCTCTACCACTGAACCATTGCTCCTCATATTTGACAAGTATTGCATAATACCTGTCACATTCCTAACCTCAACTGTAGATCAAATTTCATACTCAACACTAACCTGAAATCTAATCTTAACTCAAAAAAGGCTTACCCTCTTTCTTTGATGACGCAAAGCCTGGAGTAAATTTCAGATCACTTTAGTTCTGCAAAAAGCACTATAACTACAATCAGTACTTGTAGTTGATGTTCTTTATACTTCATTGTTTATTACAGACACAGATCTGTTCAATTCACCTCAGTGTGATAAATTACTTTCTTTTCTACCTAGGAAGCCATTTTGACGTACAACGCCCGCTACAGCCAGCGATGGAATTTCAGAGCCCTGCACACGCTTTTCACAGAAGTACTGGATGCAGAAGAAACCATGTACTTCTTTGATAAGATACTCCCAGAGATGGTTAATCTTGCTCTTCAGTTGCCCAAACTATGTACACAGGTAGGACAGAAGTAGTAGGGGAGGAAATCGACTTGGCTTGTTAGAAAGTGTACATGTGATATACTATGCATGGCTTGTGAAAGCATCATTTAAGAATATACAGGGTTGATGTTTGATTGCTTTACCTGACGGCTAACAAAGCATTGTAGCAAGCAACCCGGGGATGAACAACTTTTAAGAACTTGGTAATGAAGATTAATTAATGCCTTACCATCCAGACCTTCAAAACTGCACTTAAGACATATCTTTTTAAGAATTAAATTTTGTCATGCTTTGTTATCTATAATTTTTAATTGGAATTGTATATACCTATAACTTGTAATATACAAATATATTTTTGCACCAGAATTGTTGTACATGTATCATTATTTAAGAATTAATTATAATATTGTTCTATTTAGTCAAGATTTTGTTAGAATTTTTGTTTCAGGATTATTCAACAGTAGATAATTAATTAAGCTTTTACATAATACAATTTAAAGCCCATAGAGACATATTTTGTATAATGTGCTATAGAAATATAATTCATTATTATTGTTATTATTACCAAAGGGCTTTAGGGCATCGAATTGGTCTTTAAACCATTAGTATAATTGGACTGTATGTGTCATGAATTTTCAGGCTATTCCTCTACTAAGGAGACAGATAACACACTGTGTTACCATGTCCCAGCAACAGATAGCCAGCCTGCTTGCCAATGCCTTCTTCTGCACCTTCCCCAGACGTAACGCTCAGCAAAAGAAATCGGAGTACTCAAGGTTCCCTGACATCAATTTCAACAGGTACATTGATAATCATTTGTTCGTGTCTCCTAAAGGCCCGGTCCCACTGCACTTACGGATGCAAAGAGGATGTAAAACATAAAAAAAATTGCCATCCGTTGGAAAACGCTATGCGTCTTGTGTACTCATTGCATACGTGTTTCATACGCTCTATCCATCGAGCATCCGTCCACTGTGATTTCATCCGCGCAAAAAGTTTTGAGCTGCACAAAACTTTTAGAATGGATGAACTTCCGCCGTGTACGATGTAAATCCGCGACAAATACGAGCAACAAACGTTCTTTGTCCGTTATCATTTGTTAAACGTCCGCTGTATCCTCTCGGCATTCTCTGGGCATCCTCGCTACTCACATCCGCTGCAGCTGAAAACGGAAAGAGGGAGGAAAGATAAGGTACATGGAACGTCTATACATCGTTAGTAGCACGGAAATAGAAAGGATGTAAGCGTATGCATCTCGTATATAAAGTATTCAAAGCTGTCATCCACTTCCATCCGCTTTCATCCGCTAGGCTTCCGATGAACATCCGTTTAACATCCCCGCTACATACTACCCACGTCCGTTATTTTCCGTTCTGTTTTTGCAGATTTTCGCATATTTTGTCCATTTCTGGAGCGGATGAAAACGGATGGAGCCACCCCCGAAATTTTGCTCATCCGCTGTGTCCTTTATGCATACATCTTGTGTCCATCGGCCAGTGGGACCGGGCCATTAGATCAAGATTAATGTAAAGTTTCTAAATTAAATTAAATCAAATTAGGTTCTTCCATTGCTCGATCATAATAATAATACTCTATCATATGTATTCTTGTATTACACATGCAGGATAGTCAACTAGGGATTTAACATGTTACAGCAACAGGTATAAACTTTCAACTTACAAGTTTGAAAATCAGCTGCAGGTTTTAATTTTGAAATCGCAATAATTAAATCTCTTGCCAGGTACCCACTTTCATTTGTTTTGCTTTTACACCTCTCCACCAACGACAGTATTTAGCTTGGGCTTGGGCCTGGGGTTTGATGACCTTCTGATATGTTGCAGCCTTTTTTGTATTATGTCATCTCTTGGGCATCCAACCCATCTCTCTCTCTCATTTGCCCATCCACTCTTTGGAAAAAATTCTCCTTCAGTTTTAGGCTAATCTATATGTTTGTTTTATTTCTGAATTATTCTATCCTTCTTTTTTGTTAATGAACAACATTCTTCTCAATTTTTTGTTTGTTACATGAATCCATCAGGTTATTTGAGATGGGCAAAGGCTACAAAAATCACAGGAAGATTGAGAAGTTAAAGTGTATTTTAAACTACTTCCGCAGAGTTACCGAAAGTGGTAAGTAAACTGGCATTTGCCATCTAAGTTTGCATGTAGGTTAAACACATGGCCGGGTCTGTTTTCTGCTACAATCCAGACCCTCGATCTAAGATCACATAAATGTTTAAGCCCAGTGTCAGGTTTAATTTTGAATCGAATGAAGAATACAGGCTGTAATATTCACTCATGATTATGTCCCCCCCCCCCCCCCCCCCCCCGCGAAAAAAGAATAGAAAGTTGTATAGTAAGGTAAATTTGCTATCATAGCATGGGTACCGGTAGACTAAAAAGATCTTCTATTATGTTTAGAGCAAGCTTTGATAGTGGAGAGTGAAGATTTTAATAGCAAGTAAATGCTTGCATGTTATTGTTACCCTCCTCTTCCTGCAAAAGATTGAGAGATATAATGCTTGTGTTTTTATAGCTGTTTTTCCTGTTCCTTATTCAGTACCTACTGGAACTGTTACAATCAGCCGCAGGGCTTTGTCAGATCTACCCAGATGGGATAAGAGTACAGCACAACTCACTAGACTTCATATGGCTGCATCAGGAATGATAGAGAAGGAAGGACATGGCATGCTACAGGTTAGTTAATAATGGAGATGATGATGATGATGATGGTACTAGTGATGATGATGATGATGATGGTACTAGTGATGATGATGATGATGATGATGGTACTAGTGATGATGATGATGGTACTAGTGATGGCTGTGATGATGGTGGTGGTGGTGGTGGTGGTGATGATTGTGGTGGTGGTGTTGGTGGTGGTGATGCTGATGATGATGGTACTAGTGATGATGGCTGTGATGATGATGGTGGTGGTGGTGATGCAAGTGGTGGTACTAGTGATGATGATAATAGTTGTGGTGGTGATGATAGTGATGGTACTAGTGATGATAATCATGGTGGTGGTGATGATGATGAGGATGGTGATGATGATGACCATGCAATGATGATGGCGTTGGTGGTGATGATGATAATGACCATGATGATGATGGTGATGATGACAATTATTATAATTATTATGGTGGTGATAATGTGTTCATGTTTACAGTACCATAATGTTGATGATTTGAAACTCACTATGACTGCTATTGTGCATACCATATATCTATATTCCTCATCTGAGTAAAAACTATCATGTATTCTTGATCCTTCTAGATGGACTTTGCCAATAAGTACATTGGTGGCGGAGCATTAGGTTTTGGTTGCGTTCAAGAGGAGATACGCTTCATGATTAACCCTGAGCTCATAGTAACAAGGCTTATTACAGAGGTTCTTGATGACAATGAGTGTGTCATCATTAAAGGTTAGTACCTCATAGTAACAAGGCTTATTACAGAGGTTCTTGATGATAATGAGTGTGTCATCATTAAAGGTTAGTACCTCATAGTGACAAGGCTTATTACAGAGGTTCTTGATGATAATGAGTGTGTCATCATTAAAGGTTAGTAGCTCATAGTAACAAGGCTTATTACAGAGGTTCTTGATGACAATGAGTGTGTCATCATTAAAGGTTAGTATCTCATAGTAACAAGGCTTATTACAGAGGTTCTTGATGACAATGAGTGTGTCATCATTAAAGGTTAGTATCTCATAGTAACAAGGCTTATTACAGAGGTTCTTGATGACAATGAGTGTGTCATCATTAAAGGTTAGTATCTCATAGTGACAAGGCTTATTACAGAGGTTCTTGATGATAATGAGTGTGTCATCATTAAAGGTTAGTCAACCAAGCAGTAAGAATCTTATCAAATTCTTGGGATTATAACTTGCTTATATCCACACAGAATTTAAAGGGGGCATTGCTCCATGATGAATAATTCCAGCCAGCATGCCTCAGGTCTTATAAATACCTAGAGGCTGCTTCAAATATCAAATTGAAAAGCAGGAGAGGTTTGGCTGCGTTGGAGTATCTTGTATGTTCTGTGATATAGTTTTCTTTGGTCCTCTAGATTAAAGTGTGTCATTTGTAGAAAAGGTTTACAGTATATTATAAGATGGTATAAATTTGAGAAGTCTTTAAAAAGATGTGGTGTGGAGTTGTATTATAGTATACAAATAACGCACGGCCCAGAGTGCAATAGCGGTGAATGCAGTACGCGCGAGGTTTCTTTAGATTGGTGCCGCTCCGTGCAACGAGCCGCTTGCGGCGAGTTGACAGTGAGCACCATCTGAAGAAACTGAGTGTACACTGCATTTACGTTTCGCACAACAGGGTTAAGTGCGTTATTTGTTTTATAAAATAGCGACACAAATGCAAAACAAACAAAAGTTTAGATTTTAAGTATTAAGTTAGAGTCTACGACAGTTAGATCTAGAGTTATGTTGGTTCTACTAGAGTAAGACCTTGCAGGCTTACCAAAAAGTTCACGGGATTCATTGCCTTGAGTAAAAAATAAAATCCATAGGGGGTTTCCTGGCTTCGTTATAAAATCCCAAAGTCAAAACAAGCCTAAATCCAAGGCAAAAGTAAAATAAAAATTTGCTTTCTAATAATACCCGCTCTAGCTAGCTAGCTAGAGCTAAGCTACGCGTACGCTGCGCTGGGGATCATGGTGGAGCGTACAATATTAGCTACGCGTAGCCTATATAATTAAAGCACTCGAGGCCGAGAGAGCGTACTACACGTACTCCATGGTAACGTGTATTATAACCTTTTTTGCGCTTTTTTCTGCAAAATCGTGCTTGCATCTAAAATTTGTACATGTCATGTGATGTGTATTGACCAATCACGATGCTTAAAATACTAGAGCCATTTTATAATAGTATTCATCTTATTACTAATTGGAATGTACATTGAACTGTAATGGTGAGAACAAAAAATATAATAAAAGGAAGTATACTTTCATTGTATACATGTTAATGAAATATATATGTCTTTCATCTGTTTTGAGTATTTACTGTTTTGTTATCTTCTGTCTCTTTTTGTCTTTCTCTCTCCTTTCTATATCCCCTCTCTCTCCTTTATATACCCCCTTCTCTCTGTCTCTCTGTCTCCTTTCTATACCCCTCTCTCTCTCTCTCTCTCTATCTCTCTCTCCCTCTAACTAGTACATGAATCTCGTACCCTTTTGTCTATCTATCACTTTAATCTCTCTAAACCTTTTTTTCTTTTTCCAGGTGCTGAACAGTTCAGTGACTACTCAGGATATGCCAACTCATTCAAATGGAAAGGAATCTTCAAAGACTCCACCCCAAGGTAAGTCAATGCCTAGATGGTTTGATACACAACAACTACAAACAACAAGTAAAACATTTAGGATAAGTAACACGAATAGGTCATACAATATGTCACATCTAACAATAGCAAGATGTTCTTGGTTTAAATGATTTTTCATGGTCAAACTAAGGATTCCAATTCTTGTAAAAACGTGTATAACTTCTAATTATGAACATGTAGTATCAAAACATCTACAAAATACATTGATGGAGATAATACAAACAAATATTAAATCAAATCCAACATGAGAATCGGTAGAGCACTTATGTCTAGTTGCCGAGTGAAATATGCTGTGAAGACTGAAGAACAAAGTCCCTGATTCATTTGGGTATAAAGGAGTAGTAGATCACTGTATTCCATTCTGAATGAGAAATAATTCTAGTTGTCCTTAGCAAGAGAGTCTTGGCTATAAAGATATCATGCCCTTCTCTCTTCATGTTGTAACATAACAAATTAACACTATCATATCATTTGAACTTACCTTACAGGGATGCATGGGGAAGAAGAGAGACAGAGATAGTTGCCATTGATGCCCTTGTCATTCAGCGCTATGAAGATCAGTTCAGACCCGATTGCCTTCGGAGAGAGCTAAATAAGGTATGTAGTTACTTCCTTTAAGGTTTTGTTGAAATTTTAACTACTTTTAAAAGCTGCAAAAGTTTTCCACTGTTGAATGAGAGATATATCTCCAACATACCTCTATGATTATATTTCAGCGCTAAGATCCCTTTAGGTAGCTCACTTCTGTAACAAAGATTGGTTTTACAGTAGGCTTGCGGGTGCCCGATGTGAGAGAGAGGGAGGATTGAGGAGTCCTGAAAAGATTAGTTTGTTACCCATAGGTTCTGAGAAGAGACGCACTCAAATATCAGATACCTTAAAGGGAGATGGTCATCAGTTTCTATGTGCAGTAGGTCATAATTCGCTGACACCAGACTTAGTGGAAAATACCCTTCATGCGTGTACAAGTCTCGCACACAGCAAACCCGTAGTCCCATCAAGAAATATCACTAGTCTCTCAGAGATTCTTCAGGTAAGGGAAATGTAAGATAGTGAATTTTCCATGTAGGGCGATGGGTGGAAAATGCAGAGCACATAACTAAGGCCCTTTGGTCATAAAACTGAAGGCTCATCCTGGTGACTGACAGCACCTGTTATTGGTTAAACACCTGAATGATGTCGTATTCCCCATGAGAGCCCACTACTATGTGTCTGTAATGACTACTTTATTCTAAACTGTTTTATATAACTAATTCAACCTGGCTCCAAACATATATGTACAATTTAAGTATTTCTATTCAAATGGTTAGAAGTATTCAATGAAAACTGCAACAACCATCTGATCCACTTGATTATTTATTTTCTCATCTTCACTAGGCCTACTGTGGTTTCCATGGTGATACATCATCAGAGCATCTGCCTGCCATAGCGTCGGGTAACTGGGGATGTGGAGCGTTTGGAGGAGACAAGAGAGTGAAAGGTATGTGGATATATTGCTTATTAATTCAGAGTCCTCTTGCATGAAGAATTACAATGATAGTTTGCTCAAGAAATAATGAAATGCAGAGCCAATATCCCCTATCATGGCAAGCTGGATTAAAGATAAGAAATCTCTTGTTTTAGCCAATCCCATTTCAATGCTGTACACATAATTTCTTGTCCCTGCTTGGCCAGTAGGGGAGATGTAGAAGTGATTTATAATTGTTACTTTTGATGGATTGCATAACAGCAATATGAATATGCTCAAGTCATTTAATGCTGATGAATTTGAACTCTTTTTTTATTACTTAATGTGAAACATATTTGTTTAGTTAAAGATATCTCTTGGCTCTTGATCCATTGTAGGCATGACAGTTTGATTGTTATTCTATTTGTCCACTGTTGTACATTTTCAAAATAGAGAAATGACACTTACTTTCGATGGATATACAGTTCCGCCTGCGATCAACGTCACACTGATCGCACGCAATTGATCGCGCTCAAAATGCGCGACTATGAGCGCGATCGCGCGCTCTTGTTATGCGTTATCACTGAATGCGCATACTGTCCTCTACGGCAGAAAAGAGGCGCGATATTCTGTACGGCAGTATTACAAAAGCGCTCGATTCCGTTCAAAACGGCAGTAAAAAGCGGGGGTGTTTTAAAAATATCTCTCCCGTTTCAATTTTGTTTTCCTCATTAATACGTTGATTGTTTTCCCTTTTTAAAGATTATCTAGATCATGAATGCCTGCTTTTTTTAATTTTCTACTTCTAAAAACAATAATTATCAGCAAGGTTTTGTTGCCCCTACGGAGATCTAAAAACGATAATTATCGGCAATACTTTGTTGCCCCTACGGTGATCTAAAAACAATAATTATCGGCAAGGTTTTGTTGCCCCTACGGAGATCTAAAAACAATAATTATCGGCAAGGCTTTGTTGCCCCTACGAAGATCTAAAAACAATAATTATCAGCAAGGTTTTGTTGCCCCTACGGATATCTAAAAACAATAATTATCGGCAAGGTTTTGTTGCCCCTACGAAGATCTAAAAACAATAATTATCGGCAAGACTTTGTGGCCCCTACGGAGATCTGAAAACTATAAATATCGGCAAGGTTTTGTTGACCCTCCGGAGATCTAAAAACAATAATTATCGGCAAGACTTTGTTGCCCCTACGGAGATCTAAAAACAATAATTATCAGCAAGGTTTTGTTGCCCCTACGGAGATCTAAAAACAATAATTATCGGCAAGGTTTTGTTGCTCCTACGGAGATCTAAAAACAATAATAATCGGCAAGACTTAGGTGCCCCTACGGAGATCTAAAAACAATAATTATCGGCAAGACTTTGTTGCTCCTACGGAGGTCTAAAAACAATAATTATCGGCAAGGTTTTGTTGCCCCTCCGGAGATCTAAAAACAAAAATTATCGGCAAGGTTTAGTTGCCCCTCCGGAGATCTAAAAACAATAATTATCTGCAACGTTTTGTTGCCCCTATGGAGATCTAAAAACAATAATTATCGGCAAGGTTTTGTTGCCCCTACGGAAATCTAAAAACAATAATTATCGACAAGACTTTGTTGCCCCTACGGAGACAATTAGTTGTCGCTGATATTACCGGCTTTGTGACATAAATTAAGCCGACGGAAAGAAAGAAATGAATAAAAGAAAATTAATTCAAATACCACTTGCGCTAGAGAAACAAAAAGTGAGAGAGATAGAAGCGAAAACGATTAAATATCGCTGATTTTACCGGCTTTCATGATAAAACTTAAGCCGTCGGAAATAAATAGAGAAAATGAATTGCAATATCACTGACACTAGAGAAATAAAAAGTGAGAGAAAGAGATTGGTGAAAACAATGAAGTGTCGCTGATATTACCGGCTTTCATGACAAAAATTAAGCCGACGGAAAGAAAGAAACGAATAAAGAAAATATCACTTGCGCTAGAGAAATAAAAAGTGAGATTTTTTTCTTCTTCTCCACCTCACTTTGTCACTATGATTCTATTTTGTACTTAAATTTTTGTAAATAATTATGGGTTCACTTATTAAAACTTGCATATTTGTTTGTAAAGTGTATTTTCATTGTTTTATATTCTGTTCTAACAAAACAATGGATTCTGAGTGGGGCATTCTGGCGACATTCCGAATGCCAATTGTATAAATCCGTGACGTAATTACAGGCCTGATAAAAACCCGATTTAAATCGGTTTCCCGATTTTTTTTATTTTTCCCGATTTTTTCCCGATTTTTTTTTTCTTCCCGATTTAAAAAAAAAAAAAAAAAAAAAAAAAAAAAAAAATCATTTTTTTTTTTTTTTTTTTTTTTTTTTACCAATTTTTTTTTCCTTCCCTATTTTATCCTGATTTTCCCGATTTCCCTCTTATTATCTCTATTCTTCCCTATTTTTCTCCCAATTTTCCCCCCAATTTTCCCAAGTTTGTCTCAATTTTCTTACTCGAAAGGGGGGAATGTTGTTAGATGCCATTTTTTCCCCGCGAATCGTCTTTTTTTTTTTTTTACTCAAGGGGGGCGTGGTTGAGGGGAAAACAAAAAACCTATTTTTTTTTTAGTGCTCACTATCACCCCTGTAATTAACTATGAGGCCTAAAAAATAAAAAATATATTGTGCCTTAGGTGCTAAAACATGGGTCGGTCGGAAAATAATCATCTTTTTTCTTTTTTCTTTTTTTTCTCGCCCTTTTTGGGCTGATATTTTTCAGTTTTTAATGTTTTTTTTTCTTCTTTTTTTTCTCGCCCTCTTTGGCCTGCTATTTTTCAGTTTTTAATGCTTTAATACATGTGTTTCAGCGACATCATTCCATTCATATCTTTTCACCTTATACTAATCCATGGTTTACAATGTTGTGTTGAGACAACACTCTCTGCTTCCCAGCTGATGAGGTTTTTCAACTGCCTGTAAAACTTGCTAGCAATGTGAAGATTGTTGACAAATTGTACAGGTAGTCCCGGGCACAAAGTGGTCTCTTTACTAACCAAAGAAGGGACCGAAACTGACACAGGAAAAGACAGCCAGACAGTTTTGCATGCAAGAGGTTCAAATCATAGCCTATCACAAAATTTGTATCTAAACTGGCCCGCTTCATAAAATATGCTCTTCATTCCTGTTTCAGTCCTGGGGATTGTTCCAAGTGTTTGTTTGTATCCGTTTGTTGAGTCTGAAATGAGTCAAATCTGACCCCAAAAAACAAACAATAATCAAATACATGAATGTTTGAACTCACTGTATCTCCATGTTTTAATCTGAGTTGTACAATTTACAAAGTTACAAACCAACTTACACTTTGTCTTGCTGGAAAACTTTAATAAAGAAACAATATTTGAATAAATAAACACAAATACATGTGTGTTTTCTCGCTCACATGAGTTTCATGGAACAGAGCGCATACGATCCCTTTTGATTGCAACAGTACTGATCGCAGACAATTACTGCGTGTTCTGGTAACGTAGAGGCTTGTGGATAGTTCTCAATGTTGTAGGGTAAGTTTGAAGGAAAGAAAAAGACAAAACTCTAACGTTTGAGATTCGAGGAAGCATAATATGGGGATGTATGAGTAGTTTCTGTCATGGGCGGAGATTCCTTTTCGAAAGGTTTACAAACGTGTATAGTCTCATAGCAACAGCATTCATTTGCGATCAGATGCAATCGCGTGAAGAAAAAAAGGTCTTTAGCGGTAAAAGGCACGACAATTATAATTTTGATGTAGAAAGCCCGGTCGACAAAGCCTATTCAAATTTTACAAGCAGGTAGATAAAACACAAATTATGTTCTTTGTAAAAATTATATTGCTATGGTGTCCTTTGAAAATCAATCAACGGATCATTCTCATGGCTCCTCTTTGAAAAGACATAACGGAAAAATATGAACTCATCATACCAGGTGTTTCGGGATTAAGTTAAACATTTTATGCATCCTCTAAAGATTCCCCTTTTCTTTCAAACACAATTCTTGTCGTTAAGGAATATCCATATTTCTGTGAGAGCATTCGCACTCAAGCAGACTATGAATCTTAATTTTGTTATGTCTCTCCAATGTATATAATAGTTTAAATAAAACGACTATCAATCGATCTTTCCGTACTGTAGCTTTATGCTTGAATTTCATTTTAATTATCCACCCCGACTGGCGCCTTTATATTAAGAGCACACTGTTCAGCTATCGCATCCAAAACAGTTTAATCCGGCCCAGCAAAGATTAAAAAATTATAAATGTGGATGGGAGAGAGAGATGCGGAAAGCTTGATAATCTTCTATACAAGGAACAGAGCGCATACGATCCCATTTGATTGCAACTGATCGCAGCTGATCGCAGACAATAACTGTGTGTTCTGGTTACGTAGAGGTTTGTGGATAGTTCTCAATAGTTTGAAGAAAAGAAGAAAAAAAAAAAACCCTAACGTTTGAGATTCGAGGAAACATAATATGGGGACGTATGAGTAGATTCTGTCATGGGCGGAGATTCCTTTTCGAAAGGTTTACAAACGTGTATAGTCTCATTGCAACAGCATTCATTTGCGATCTGATGCAATCACGTGAAGAAAAAAGGGTCTAGCAGTAAAAGGCACAGCAATTATAATTTTGGTGTAGAAAGCCCGGTCGACAAAGCCTATTCAAATTTTACAAGCAGGTAGATAAAACACAAATTATGTTCTTTGTAAACTTTATAGTGCTATGGGGTACTTTGAAAATCAATCGACGGATCATTCTCATGGCTCCTCTTTGAAAAGACATAACGGAAGAATGTAGGCTACTCTCACCTTACCAGGTGTTTCGGGGTCGAGTTAAACATTTTATGCATCCTCCAAAGATTCCCTTTTTCTTTCAAACACAATTCTTGACGTTAAGGAATATCCCTATTTCTGTGAGAGCATTCGCACTTAAGCAGACTATGAATCGTAATTTTGTTATGTCTCTCCAATGTATATAATAGTTTAAATCAAACGACTATCAATCGATCTTTCCGTACTGTAGCTTTATGCTTGAAATTCATTTTAATTATCCACCCCGACCGCCGCCTATATTATTAAGTGG